ACAACAACAACAACAACAACAACAACAACAACAACAACAACAACAACAACAACCCCTCATAATAAAAACACCTCCAACAAAAAACAACCACAAACAAAACAAAACAAAAAAACAACAACACAAACCCCCCCCCCCCAAAAAAAAAACAACAACCGGAAGAAGAATTTTAAAAAAAGCGATGCAAGAAACAAAGATACTATTGTTGAGAACAGGCGGAAACTGACTCATGTTGCACCAAGCTTCCTTCGACGACTAACATGCTGTCATTTAAAAAGTACTATACTAGAAAACTACTCTCAGCAGGTTACCCAATCACACACGCACGCACACACACACACACAGACACACACACACACACACACACACACACACACACATACACACACACACACACACACACACACACACAAACACCAACACACTCAAAGAGTGTCCATTCATGATAATGGTTTTTTTTGGTGGGACTTACGATATATTTCTACGCATTTTGGAAAGGACGTTCGTTACTTGTTACACATAAGCACATCAATAGATATCATGTAGTAAAATATCCAAACACATGTAACGTAAACTCCAGCTCAAAAAGAGGTTCAAAAGTTGAAAAATCAAATCATCAGCATAAATAAATATTGCATTCACTCTCAAGGAAGACTCTCTTAAAAAACTCAAGATATATCTCAACAACGAGAAGGAGAACAAACGCTTCAGTATTAGATAGTTTACATCAATGCCGAAAACATTGAAAAAAAGCAACCCATAGGGCCTAGGGTCAATCGCCCATTTCCCGGACACCGCACAATATGTCACATTGTTGGTAAGAGTTTTTCGACGACATTAGCGGGGAGACATTCACCCAAGGAATAGCTCATTCCCTGAACCGAAATTGCTTATTCGCTGAACTGAAATTATTTATAACCCAACTCCACCCCCACTACCCCTAAGATGTTTCCGTTTGGACAGTTCATATTAGCAGACAAGCGGCATCAAGGCTGGCCGAGTGAGCAAAACCCATTGTCAAGTGCAGCGTCTTAGGGGGCCAGAAGAACGCATGCTGTTCGCTTCTGTTGAAATTAAAACATTTTTGGCCTCACGTAGACAAGTATTCCTGACCTCACGCCACACTTTGTGCCACCCTCCCCCCCACCCCCACTCAGCTCCCCCCTCCCCCTACAAAAACATTGAAAAATATTCCTTACCACACGTTACACTTTGCGCCTCCCCAAAACAAACAAACAAATAAACAAACAAACAAACAAACAAAAAACCCAAACAAAAACAAAAACAATCAAACAAAAACAAAAACAATCAGACAAAAACCCAAACAAAATAAACAAACCCAAAACATAAAAAAGAAGCAAACAAAAAACAGTTAAATTCTAACATCAGACGCTACACTTTGCGCGAAACGTTTGTCGCTCTTGTGAGCATTGCGTTTCGCTCTCACAATTGCGTTTGGCTCATTTATATGAGCGAAAGGCTATGCGCACAAGAGCGAAACAAACGTTTCGCACATACAAATTAGAAAAATAGGCAGCTTTAAAGGAAACCGCGTTTGAGCCATTATATTAATATTATAACACGAACACGTAGACGCAAAGCCTATTGCTTGGTTGTAGTTTATGCACCTGGATATCATATTAAAATATTGTGCGGGGAAGCAGCACTTTCTGGACTGCAAAGATTGATCAAGATATCAATATTTGGGCCTGTGGTCGAGAGAGAACCTCAGTTGGGGTAAACAGAAGTAGCAAGATAAGGTGGTACGCAAGGAGATTATATTGGCGTAGAGCAGTTTGTGGGTCTCCGAACTTTGCCTTTCGTGCATGGTGGTCTAGTATCTTTGGAGAAATGGATCCATTCAGGAACACCCAGTGATAGCTTATACTCGTTTGTTCATTCCTATCGTACTATGTCTCGATATCATATTTGTCTACATGAATACGGTTGCGCCAGCGGGTGTGTACATGCGTACATGTGTGTGTGTGTGTGTGTGTGTGTGTGTGTGTGTGTGTGTGTGTGTGTGTGTGTGTGTGTGTGTGTGTGTGTGTGTGTGTGTGTGTGTGTGTGTGTGTGTGTGTGTGTGTGTGTGTGTGTGTGAGAGATGAACAGACAGATACATAGATATACCGATAGATAAATAGATTACCCCCAGAAACAAAAGGAGATAGATAGATAGATAGATAGGTAGATAGATAGATAGATAGATAGATAGATAGATAGATAGATAGATAGATAGATAGATAGGTAGAGAAAGTGTATGTGTGCGTGTGTGTGTGGGTTGGGGGGGGGGGTTGGGCTGTCCGTGCTTCCATATACATTTGTGCGAGTTTGCGTGACCGAGGAGCAGAGAAAAAACGAAGGCAACACATAACGGGGAAGAAAAAAATAATATAGCAGAGATTAAATTGCGTATCGTAAACAAATATCAGGAAATAATTGTTTTTTAACTTTCTTTGTAACTCTAGAAACATAAATTCGAATATTTTAATTAAAGGATTGACAAAATGCTTCCACCCTCACCCCTCATATACATCAATGTTGAACATTTCGTAGCATCTTATACATCTTTAGCAAATCGTGAGACAGTTAAGCAACAACCGCTCAGGGAAATATATTATTGCATGTACATCCTGTTTCCCTCCCTAACATTTACCGTCCTTATCTCTCCTCCTTTTCTTTTTATATTACTCTTACGTTGTAGCACCTCTGATCTTCGGCACTTATGTAACCTTTCTGCATTGCACATGTCGCAAGACGTTTATTAATAAAAACTAAATTGTTTCCACTATGTTTGCTAACCCGTTACATCCCCGTTTTCAGTGCTGTGCACCCAGGAGCAGTACGTACCAGAATTTTATAGAAGATGGCGCAAAAACATGAAGCCAACCCCAAAGAGTAGACTGGTTAGCGCGTGCTCTGGTATGGTTTACGCTTTCTTTCCAGTCAAACATCTGCCAGACTTGTCTCTCCTCCTTCTTTTCTTTGTATGTTACTCTCAAGTAATACCTCTAATCTTTGGCGCTTGCATGCCCTATTTGTATTGCAAGTGCGTAACACTCTTACTAAAAGTAATTAAACTTCAAAGAAAGAAATATCTGTTCTCCGTTGTTGATCGAAACCGAATCCTCGATTTTGTACAGCCCAGTGGCCTTTTGAGTAGAATGTAAATATTATTATCTTAATCAGATGTAAATTGCTGTTGTTTTACAACATTTTTACCGTAAAAGTTATAACCATTTAATCTGATTATTGACCTAAACTAAACCGTGCTGTGACTGTTGTGAATGCAACCAACTTGTGTTTCGAGCGCTCATAGGGCCTTATGTAGCTGCGAGCGCCGTAAAACTCTTACTAAACTAAACTAAACTAACCTAAACAAAACAAAACTAAACAAAACTAAACTAAACTAAACTAAACTAAACTAAACTAAACTAAACTAAACTAAACTACACTAAACTAAACTAAACTAAACTAAACTAAACTAAACTAAACTAAACTAAACTAAACAAAACTAAACTAAACTTACCTCTTGGTACCTCCTGTAATAAATGAGGGGCGAGGCGACGAGAATCGAGAGAAGCCAGATGAGTACGATGGTGAAGCTAGCTCTGCGCTCAATGAAGTGCGCCTTCATGGCGAACACAATGCCGAAGAAGCGGTCACATGCTATAAATGTCAGCGTGAAGATACTAGCCAGCAGGGTGAGCACTGAGGAAGAGATGGGGAAAAAAAGATAAGAACGACAACAAAACAAACTCCTCTAAACAACAACAACAACAACAACAACAACAACAACAACAACAACAACCACAACCACAACAACAACAACAACAACAACAACAACAGCAGCACCGATGATAATAATAATAATAGTGATGATGATAATAATGATGAT